ACAGTTGGCTCTTTCTGGCAGACAGATCTCTGGCAAAGACTTTGGAGCCTTGGTTCCGCTCGATCGCTTCTTCAATACAAGCTGTATTGAAGTTGCGTAAGTCCCGCCGCATGCATTTGGAGATCTGTCTGTTCAGTTGCCTGTATGCTGTCAAATCTGTTGAAGAATGTAGCTTCATCTCCCGTCTAACAGCCATGAGATTAAGAGTGTGATCGGAGAGTTTTTGTTCTTCTGCGGCGAGTCATGCAGAATTTAGCTCCGAACGCATGGACAGTTTCCACGAGCTTGTCAGTTATATCGTCCACTTCATTGCAGTCTTCTAGGCACTGAAAACGGTTTTGTAACTCGAGCTGAAAGGTTTCGGGACTTTGGAACAGAGAACGAGGGGGACAGAGCGTTGACTTCATTAGACGAGACCTCTCCAACTTAACGTTTAGCTTCAGTGTGCCTCTAACCATTTGGTGATCGCTACCAGTTTTCACTCTCGCGATCACGGAGACATCACTGAACAGTTGTGGTCTGGTCGTCATAATGAAGTCAACCTCATTTTTTGTCGAACCGTCGGGGCTTGACCAGGTCCACTTCCTGTGGGGCCGCTTCTGGAAGAAAGAGTTCATCATAAAGAGTCCCTCCTTCTCCATGAAGTCGGCCAGCTGCTGGCCCCTTGGGTTCCGTTGCCGTATTCCAAATTTCTCTACTTTCAGCTCACCGTTCTCTCTTGTGCCTAGTTTTGCATTGAGGTCTCCCATTAACACCGTATAGTGAGTTTTGGAGGTATGCATGGCTCTAGAGATATCCTCATACATTTCCTCCACCTCATCATCAACGAGACTATATAGGGTAATGGATATTCTTACACCGCCACTATCTAATATATCTTTATCTTTTATATTATATTTATTTATATTTTTATATTTACTATACAATAAATATGAGGGTATAAACTGTTAGGAACATCGATATATATATACACTACGCACTGGATTTCGCATTCCAAAAATTCACTGTGTTCAACTGAATTGTACTGCAATCCGTACCCTTACGAGTACCTACTTTAGTGTCATTTAGTGTGACTTCAATATTCATGCAGTGTGGAGCGGCGCTAATAATACGAGATTTCTAACTAAAGTTTAAACCTGGACGTAAATAACAATTCAGTGGTCAAGTAAAATGATTTGTTGTTCAAGTTTATAAATATGTAATAATATATCAACTGCGCATGCGCGGCTCTACTATCGCCTGCGCAGGCGCGAAGACATGAGTAGCGCACATATTTTGTTTGGAATGGCTTCTCTAGTACGTAGTACATATAACTCAATGGTTAGGAATAATTTTTTGAAAGGATGTCTAAAGCAAAAGTTCTGTGGAGTCAAACAAGAAAAATATTTGTCAATAATTTTTTTTGGAAAATGTTTCATTGCTTTAATTGAAGAACTGTATCGTAACTTTTTCTCATGATGGCCCGCACACAGTGACGGTGCTCACTTTACTCGAACACATTTAAGTTTTACGTGTACTATATTGGAGAGAAATAGTTGAAACCATATGTTTAAACACATGAATTCAAATAAAAATCACATTTAAACTTGACATTTATTTACATTTATATCAACAAAACAGGTGTTGTATAAAACAGTTCTTTCATATTAATTTTATACCAATTGTATACCTACTAAATAAAGGTGCCTTGAAACAGTGTAAAAATAATTTTGCGTCTGTAATATAGGATATGCTGGTACCGTGACTATAATTTCTCTGTTTTCAAGCTACTTGCACACTAGCGCTCGCATCAACATTATTTGTGGTAACCAAAATAATAATAAGTAGAAATCTACGCATATAATAATATATAGTACGGTACCACGTGCATTTGAAAATAAGAAATGTTTTCTCGATCATAAATAAATAAGATGAAATGTTTTCAATGACTGGAAAACATTCGTAAAAGTTTAAATTCTTCGCACGAGATACCGTGAACCATGTTACAAGCATTTTCATGAAGTTTCTCATTATTAATTCGTTTTGTTTCGAGACGCTTTGAAACAAACGTAGTATTTAATTTAGTCTACCTAAACTAGTCTCTCACGAACGAAATATAGAAAGAAATGATCAACTTTACAAAATCTTTTTGAGCTTCATATAATTTATCACATAGCATTGTGTTTACCAATTAAACCTTCTTCACATTAAGACGTGAAGAACAAATGTCATCTTTACCAATTAAAGCTATATCCACATTGTTAAAGATGAGTCCTAATTAAAGTCCATTATATGATAAATTATAGTGTAGAGACATTTGTAGTCCATTGTTATTGAAATCAAAACTTGTAGAAATAATGTCTATAATTTTTATAGTACGTTTGAATATGTCAATATAACCAATGTGGACATAACTTAGGAATTATTTCTTTTATTTTATAAAATATATAAGTTTGTAGGTCAGGCAATTTATATAATTACAACAACAATGAGTTTCTTAGTCCGAGATACCTAGAAATTGTAGGTAAAAAATTCTAATATATAAGTATTTCTTTTATTTTTGATCATTCCTTAATCAACAGCTGTCTAACGTGTAACGTGGTCGTGTCTAGGATCATTCCTCGTCTCGGGATTCTTTTCTTTCTCTGAATTACTTGAGCTAGTGAATTTACCAGGTGAAACTTAAATAAGTTAAGAATCCGTCCTCTGTATGTCCAAAATACTCGCCAAATTGTTTTGTTTATTTTTGGTATATCTATCTTTAACAATTTCAGCTTACAAAAGCTTTTGAGGTAATTTCCCAATTCAATTATAGGACACCATAATTATGATAATAATATATGCATTTAATAACTTACTTAAATAAAATGAAAGATAAAACTTTTTCCTCGCACACTTTCGAACTCACGAAAAAACTAGCAAGAGGATAATATACTGAATTTATTATATTAGGATGATGTTTAACACCTAAGAAAGGGAACTTATTCAGTCTAGATATTGTCTTTCATTAGACATCAAAAGTGACTAAGAATTAAACTAAAAATGTGGACATTTCAATACATTTTAAATATAATACTCAACTAAATTTAAGTTACGACGAACTTTCTCTACGTTCCTATAAAATAAACTGTAACAAAAGATATAAACACATAACATACCTATCGCCTATCGGTAATAAACATCAAATATTGGTAATATTACGTTCCAACGTGGAAATTGATAATTTACAATCATGGAAAACTAGAATATACGTGAATTTTTGATAAAAAAATAAATACATCAAGCAGAAAACACATTAATATGTAGACACGCAAAGAACTATTCCTGTTTACGTGAAGGGAATACAAATGACAATAAGTGACGTGTTATAACAATTTAAATATATTTTATTTAAATAATAAGAATTTAGAATCGCTTAATAATATAGATTACTGAAAGTAGCGTTAAACGTCAAAATAGAAAATAGACATTCCTCGCAGAAGCAGTAGCGAATTTAGGTTTTGGTCTTCCTTTCAGAAATCTAAATTTTAAGCGTTCCGTAGACTAAGATTACAGACAAAAGACACTTAGAAATTACTAAAGAAAAAGAATTTTAGATTTAGAACATATTCAACTTACACACGAAATAGTCTATAACGAATATTATGTCTAAATAATATTTTGACTACAGGGCCAGTGTTCGATCCTGCGCAAGTTACAAAAATGTTAGGTAACAAAAGTTAATTCATTAAACTGTCATCGAATAAACGTCATATTATTTTTTATTTATGGTTTGCCATTAAAAGCAGGCGAAGGTTTTATGCTAAGAAGTAAGGACGCGACGACACATACCAGAGCCCTCGACAGAAACGTCAACTCTGGCGACACTGAACATTCAGCTCAACTCGGTGTTGCGACAGTGTACAGCTATGACCCTCGGTCTGAGAACTGGCGTTTCTAGTGTTATGTATCCTTACTACTAGATAATTTTATCCTTAGCATAAAATTATACATATTTCAAAACACTTATTATATTCACCCTTTGAAAGAATGAGTCAAGGAAAACTATAGAGCCTAAGTGCACATTTTTGTTCATTATATTTTGCGTCAATATAGTCACGTAATTTTTAAACTTTTTTTAGTATTGAATTTTTATAAATCTCCGGCATATTAGTTTTGATATACTTTGGTTTTGATAACTAGCACAATATCCTTTGGAAATCCTTTGGGGGTTAGTCTTGCGGCAGTAATGAATTAATATTGCTTAATTTAAACACGACATTTGACTTATTTAAAACTGAACAGTTACACAATAATCCTAGAGGTTACAGTTAAGTACGATATTGAAAACAAGGAAAATAATAAATACACTGATCACTTTGAGATCACCTTTTTAATCTAATAACTTATTAATTTAAACAAAAAAAGACAATCTGTTATGTTAAAAAATTGACAATGGCCACTAGTTATATTTTATCTGATAAAAGTGGTAACATAAATTATAAAGCATAAAACTACAACCAAATTGTTGAAGAAATATTTAATACGATTATATAAATAAATAAAAAGTAATCTATGCAATGGTTTACAATGCAATTAGTTTCGGTGACAGAAAACGATTCCTAATTACAATATGATATGACACTTTTATCTTTGACCGTTATAATTCGAATCACTTTAAAATAATCATTAGTACCAGCTCTTTGGCGTTTACAAATAGCGAAGGTTTTAAACGCATTAACTTATGCATAAAGTGACTTAAACTTATTTTGTTAAAAATAATTATTATATTTAGAAAAATGAATTTGGGGAATACTTTGGAAACGATAACTCCTTTGACACAAACCTTAACTTTAATACTTATTAAATAACAACTGTGCACGTTGACTCGTGTTTTCGAACGAACCATTTAAACTAGCGTCATAGCGTCAGTTCGAGTGCACCGAATACATCACAACAAACGTTCAAAAACTTACAACCTCTTTGCATAGTTTATTTTTTTGTTATATTTTAAATTCACTAGGAACAAGTTCTGGAATATTCTAGTATGGTCTTGATAGTTCTTTAGAACGTTTCAATTGAACTTTGAGTCTCTTTGTACCTATTTGAAAGCCGTTCATAGCTTGTATTGCGGCCTGCGCTGAGGCGGCGTTGTCGTACGAGACGAAGCCGAAACACTTTGATAGGTTCGTCTGTTTATCTATGAACACTTTTGCCGATATCACGTGGCCAAACGGCAGGAAAGTTGATGCCAGATCCGTATCGGTGAACTCCTGTGGCAGGTGGTAAATGAACAGGTTGCCTCCTTCCGGACCTGGAAGAAAATGAGAATTGATTTACGTATTCATATTTTCTCATACAAACTAAAGCTTCGTAATCAGCGTCAAAATGCCTAGACATGTTGAAGAATATTTATGACACATGAAGTCTTCTTGTTTATCATCGGCTGGTAAATAATTCACAGATGGACTACCAGTGCCTGCAGTCTTGACATAGATAGTGACGATATGTCTATCTCAAACGTTGACATTGCCTGTCGGTGTAGTAGGAATTTAACACACATGGTATAATATATGAGATGATATGACCTTCATTTGTCGGTGATTGAGAGTGAAATTACTATAATCAATATTTTCAGATGTTTTAAAATTATTAAATTGTATTAATTAATGTGGGATGGAGAAATTGCAGGCTCCTTTGAAGCTTGATCTTTCAACAAATAAGTTTAACGGTTAATTGTGGTTTGTGGGTATATTTAAAAAGACTTTTTACTTTTTCTTATTCTGCTCATAAAATTCCACAGCTGATGCATTTGCAATCGTCAATCGTAATTGATCTATGATTTCAGTACCAGACGTGTCGCATCTTTGACGCTAATTCCCATCGTAAACAAGTTACGATATTGTGTCACATTAGAGTTGGACAGAATGAAGGTTATGAGAGTTTCTTCGGAACATTTACACAGTTGGCAATTTTAATTACGTTATGGAAAATGGCAATGCGTAAAACAGCTGTGAGTGAGAATGTGAAGGACGCTAAACTATTTGTAATTTCCATCTTTATTTAGTTAATGTAAAGGAGAGAGAGTAAGAGTTAGTTTTATATGTGGTAGAGCCATGCTGCAGCTATATTACTGGTATAGTTGTAGCACGAATGGGTCGGCTCGACCGGGGAAGGACCACGCTCTCACAGAATACCAGCGTAAAATGGCAGCTTAACGCTGCTGTGCTTTGTATGGTGAGTGTAGATAACCGGAGACCCTTTTTACTGAAAACGAGACATTCCTTCTTAGTTCTCACGGGTGACAAGTGACAACGCATCTGCATTTTGATTCATAATCGAGGATATATGTAGATGTCTATGACCCACAGCAACCACTTAAGATCAGGTGGTCTGTGTGCTCGTTTGTCACCCTAATTCTATAAAAAAAAGGAATAATTAAAGGTTACTTATTGTTATACCTTCGACTTGCTTCCCTGCGGCGGCTGCTGCGGCTGAGCCCAGCACTGAGCCGAGCGGCGCGGCCGCAAAAGCTGACCCGAACTGCGCCGCGTATGCCGAGCTCAGCGGCTCCGCCGTGGACCCTGCAACCATACTCACAGTGACACACTGCGTCCAATAGAGTTGTGGAAGCCTACCGGCAAACACAAAAAACATCACCGAAACAAGACAGTGACACACATGTCTGTAATTTATTTAGTTCAGAACAGAGGTATGTTTTCTACAAACAGAGAATAGAAAATTATTTATCATCGAAATTAATATGAACTTAACGTATTTTGTATAAGTAGTAAACGAAAATATATTAGCTTTTACGTGTTATTATAATAAAAACATTAAAATAATAAAATCAGTATTGAGGATTTCAATAAATAATTCACATGATGGAAAGCTGTTTCAAGTTATTAATAATTAACAATTGATCGGAATAAGGTTTTCTTAAATTAAGCATTTATTAAGATTTGCGACTTTATATAAAAAATAAAATTGATGGAAACTAAAAAAAAATCGCTCAAAAAGTTATTTACATTAATTTTGATAAGTACTTTATTTTAAATTTTAAACTACTTCAACTATTTCTAACGCATAAAACGCTCATGCAATGTACTATTTTTCTACTGAATACTAAGAATTTAAAGTTAAAAGCTAACACGAAGTATAAAAAAAAACTGATTTCTATTATTAATTGTTAAATACATCTACTGTGAGATTTTTGTTGAACGTTGTATAATAAAACGAAAGCTTGACGTGACAGGTCACTTTTAAATTCACAAAAGCATCACACAGTATGCTGCGGAATAACTTATTGATAATGGTGTGTTTTAAATTTTAAAAAACGAGGATACAAAAACGCGATCCTTAAAGTTTTATGCTGGGCAAGAACTTGACGCGTGATGTGATTTTTAAATAAACAAGTAAAAGTTGCCCCAGGCTTAAAGACTAAAAGATGCGTAAATTCTCTGATCTAGACTTGTATTAATAATCGATGTTATATACGTCTTTATATATTGTTATAAGATTTATGCTTTATCATAATTATAACAGTAAAATTCTAGTATCGAAAGTTCTTTTTTATTATTAAATTCATGATTTGAAGTATATATTGGAACAGGATATTTAACAACTATTCTTAGATCGCCTGAAGAGGTATACCCATAAACATAAAGACACTGACTATGTTGAGTTTGTCTTTCATTACAAAAAAGAAGCAAATATTGGTCCGTCTTTTTTATAAGGTCGTCTTTTACCAAATACAAAAAAGCAAACAATATTACATGGAGCTCGATGTTGGTCAAACACTACTTTAGAAAGAGATAGATGATTGACCGCAGGTTTTTTTAGTCTCTACCTTACTACTTCCAAATTCGTAATCAAATATAGTGTAAATTATGACAATTTTTTGTTGGTCAACGGTCGCACCAATAATAAAAAAAAAACATTTTTGAAATTTTGTGAGCTTGTGTACAGATGTCACATTATTGTAACTTGGTTTTGATATTTATACATTTACAGCTTAAAGCTTACTTAGCTTAGTTGGATCCAATTTTACTAAAGGAAGTTGTACATATCGTAATTATATCTAAATTAAGTGGAAATGATTAATAAATAGAAACAAATCCAATAAAAACTTAAACACAACACAATTTTATATCCGCAGTTAACATTCCTCCTTTAAAGTAAACAAGAAAGACAGCTTCCAAAAATCTAAAACACACATGTAATTTACCCTTGATTAATAAATTAATATTAATTTTCTTTTAGCAATATCATGCAAAAACAGAAATATGGGTTAATTAACAGAAAACTTCAACATGTTATTATTTAATATACGTCATACAAATCATTATTATGTGCCGTTATTAACATGCTAAAATTATAACGATATATTTTTTAAAGTTACGTAGAAATATTACGCACAAACAAGGAAAAAACAATGACAAACCTAGCACATTATTTAATCACAACATTGCTAGCAATAGTTATATTTTTAACAAAGTAATACGTCTCGGTTATGTCCGAATATACCCTATTCAATAAACACAGACCTCAATCAAAGCCTTACGTCAAAGCCCTAATCAAGCAATCTCCTATTCTACATTGTTGCAAACAGAACTGAAATCAAGCCTTAGACTAATGCAATAAATGACGATATAAATAATAAAATTTAATTATAATTACGAAACGACCCTTAATTAGATTTTGATAAAATTGATATACAAAATCGCACTGCTTTTACATATCAAAATCTACTTCAAACCATTATTTAAACAATGATTAACTCCACTTAGCTTCACTTAAAAAGAGAGTTCGAGATGTTGCTAAATTTTAAACGTAAAGTGTACCTACCAATGGAATAAAACTTTGAAAATTTAATAAAGTATAAAAATAAGGCTATTGTAATTTTAATTTTCAGTCGTCATCAATTACATTAGTTTATAAACTGACAGTGACAAATCATTCCTTATAAATAGCACACACTTTCGATTTCATTGTTGTTGTTTACCTGTGATGTTAGTCTTCCCGAGAAGACCTGAAGTGTGAAAAAGTTTCATCGTTAATTATCAGGTTTTTACATCTCTCAATAACGCATTAAAATCCAACCTGAAATAGGAAAGTTTGCGGACAAAAGGGATCGTCATGGCTACTCCCCCTCTTACGGCTTAACTTACATTTGGGGTCGCTACATTCCAATTAGAGATTTGGACAGGTCTGGCAATTAGAGTTGAATTTATGGAGCTTAATTGTCTTCGCGGAGAGAGAATTTTAGAAAAGGGATCAGTGTGGAACAAACGTCAATCTAGATGCCAGATACGTTCTGTGGATGGTTTTTAGGGATTTTGGTAAATTATTTTTAAAGAATTTTATTAATGTTGGAATAATTTTTCTTTGCTTTTGTGGGCACATCAGTTTTATGATTACATCGGTTTAGATATATTGGCTAACATAGAAAACAATAAACAACAATGTTTTGCTTAAGGTCGGGTCTACATTTTTGATCATCTTGACGTATCTTAAATCAGGCATATCGTATCGAGTATTTGTATCTTATATATGGAAAAAATGGCGTTTCAACTATATAGGTAGCCTTAATCATTTCGTATCATGTCAGCGTATCGGCTTAACGTTTTTTATATGACTCAACAAATTTTCCTCAGATCCTAGTATCTCTTCTACGACCAAACTTTTTAAAACTTTGTAGTGGCTTGTAGAATCTCCTGTGATTTGTGACCGGTGAAAAACCGACTTGGGATGAGACACAGCGTACCAGGTATCGTATCGCATCTTTATATCGTGATATATACCCATCTATACTACCGATCACACTATATGTGTATCTAATACAAGGTGTGTCAGATACGAGGTTTCGTGCGCAACGGGACGTATCAGATACGGTATCACAATGGCGTATCACACGATCGCGTAGTATAAATTTGAGTCCAAGCTTGCGATCTTATTATGATAAAGTTTGCACCACGCGACGGAGATACCATACACCCAGATGATCAAACTGACCCAGCCTTAGAAACTCTTCTTTAAATAAATTATTATCAAAAATATCATTTACGAAAAACTAAACGAAATTCTCTAAAATTTATTTATAAAATTACATTTATTCTATAAAATTACATTCTTAACACGTTCATGCGAACAACGTATATGTACGTCACATATTTGTAGATATGATATGGCACAACGTATTATTACGTTCAGCAATAACTCGATTTATTGAGCACAACGTTATGGTACGGTGTCTGGCCATACTAATGTTTTAAAGTTGGGTTACTGTGCCACAACATATCGAATTCTCAAAATTGTAGTGCCACATCGAACCAATTTTTTTTGGCTTCTTAGATGGCGTTCCTCCCTGATACTAAGTACCCACTTTGTTAGCGCACAACGTCATTATACGTCGTTTCGCAAAAGAAGTTTCATTACATCAGTCGACTTGTGCGCGTCGCGGGGCTAGTGCGTGCGCCAATTTTATGTTCACATGGAATATTGACGCTAAACGTTATCTTACTACGATATATATATTATATAAATATATTTTACTTTATTGTAATAAGTCTGAATATGTTCAAAATACATACTTTGTATTTTTTTGTTTGTTTTAGATATATAAAATGAGTCAAAAAAAGGAATGTTCAATGAAAATCTATGAGCTTTCTTCATCCCGGGAAACTACGCCAGTCCCTTTTGTTAACGATGGAGAGTTTGGATCAGATGCCGATTACGGCCCAATTGGTGATAATGATGACGATAGCTCTAGTGACATTGGCATTTCGCAGTTTGAGCGGGGCAAACAGCGCAAAAAGTCATTATTGCATGTCAAAAAGAGTACTTGTTCCAATTTACGATCTGCTTCTCATGTTAGATCTACATCGGATTCCGCATCAGAAAATTTTTATAGCACCACAGACGATTCAGAGTATTCTAGTTATGAAAGCATTTTTGACTCTCATAAACGAAAATGTAGTGACGTCTTAGGACGTTAGCGCAATATATTTCAATACTAATATTATCAGTTATTGCACAGCGTCATTAGACGTCGCTTTAGTTTGTATGAAAAAATTATGTGCAATATCACATAGAGCTACTATATTGAAGTGTGTGCATGAACGTGTTAAAATATCTTCACATTTTTACCTATTGCAATATAATAAAAACTCGTAAAATTGAACTTACACAACTGTGGAGCAGCGGGCTGCGGTGCTGCGGCCGGCGCAATGGGAGCCGCCTGCGTCACAACGGGCGGTTGCGTCATGGCTGCCAACGCGGCCAGATTCTGCACTGAGACGGGTGCTAACAAACCCCCGAGCTGATCAGCAGCTCCACCTCCAATTCCCCCCACACCCGTCACTCCACTTCCGCTCAGGCCTGCGCCATTGAAACCGATATCCTGATAGTTAACACCTAAGAAAACATCGGATGCAATGTGAGCAACAAAAGAGACGACAAACAAAACGTAGAATAAACAAAAGGGGTTAACTAAAAATGCAGAATAAGTAAACAAAAAGATAAGGGATTTTTCATAAAAAGGCAATAATGTATATATAAAGAAATAAATATCTAGTGTTTCCAAATTATTTAAACTATACTATATTATAAATGTAAATTACTGCCTACTGTTGCTATACTTAAAAAAATCTTATACGTTCTGTGTCTAGTCACAAAACATATCAAAATCAGTTTAAAAAAATAGTTTTGCTGTTATACGAATAACGAATTGCTTATTCCTTTATTATATTGTGTGAAATCAACCAACTGTAAGAGATATCAGAAGACTGAGGGAGAACTTGCAAAATATTTCATAAAGCAAACGAAAAATCAATTTCTAATAGGGTATTTACAAATGTTTTTTTTATAGGATAGGGTGACAAACGAGCACACAGTCAACCTGATTGTAATAAAATAAAAATAAAAGAAGAATCAAAATGCAGATGCGTTGTCATCCCTGAGGACTAAGTCTGTGCAAAGTCAAAGTACGGTCTATAGATCTCAGCCTAAGATATAATGCCTCATTTCTAGTAAAAGGGGTTTTCGATTCTCTACACTCACCATACGAAACAGAGCAGCATTAGCTGTTATTTAACGTTGGTATTCTGTGAGAGCGTTGTTCTTCCCCGATCGAGCCGACCCATTCATGCTGCAACCATAATATAGCTGCAGCGTGGCTCTAACTCAGGTAAAAAAGTTTTTATGTTTTTGATTACAATATTATACCAACAAATAAAATGCAAATCCTATGTTTTTATAATGTATCTGTAGAAGTTATTATTGAATGTCTTATCTACGGACTATATAGGAGGGAGTGGAAATAAAAGGTGGACGTGGATGGATCGTACGTGAAATTCATGTCAAAAAGAGCAAGAACAAGAGAGACAGGGAGAAACTCTATTTTATTCTTTTGATAATTTAATGTAAAGATAATGACAAAAATTGAAATTAAATTTTAAAACACCTTTACGGGTTTTATGATACAATCGCATAATACAAAAGTGCCTATTCAGTTATTTGCGTGAACTGGCCATTGCGCGAGTAATTAAACGATTTGCCCTTACTGGATAATTAACCTTAATGACAACTTAGGCCGCAATACTGACGTAGGTAAATTGAACCAATTGTGGCTCGGATCTACCAAACGCTGACATTGTCTAAAGTATCTAACGTGAATGGAATTGTAGAGACTAACGTTATCTGATGTTAAATTCGAGATTAAACTAATGAGTTAGAAAGATCTGTTAATACACTACATAAAGCTGATAGCATTAGAAATTATATTTTTTTAATAACAATTTTCATGTTTGTGTGGTTATAGAAGGTACATCGATAGCTATTATGATCATAAATGGTTAGACACAATTTATAAAGCGTCAGTTGAGTGTTTGAGTTAGTGGGCTATTTTAACGTCACAAGACGTTATAAATACCTTGTAATAACGTAGACCCCTGACTCTGCAACAGCTGCTGCTGCAATCCAACCGCCTGCAGTTGTTGTAGCAGCTGCAGTTGTGTAGCGGGGGACAGAGCCGCCTCGGACGCCAAATACGCCGCAGGGGTCACGGGGGTCGTCAGTCCCCATAGACTCGCTTGCATCGCCTGTAACTTCTTCTGCTCTTTTTCTTTCTGTGTATCCGCAAATTTAACAACGAGCGGCGCCGAACAGCCCTCCATTGTTTGACTGTGGTGCAGGGCCTGCAATGATGTAATTGTTTCGTATAGATATTTTTAAATTAAAGTTTTTCATGTAAGTTTTCATGTTTCTATACAGGGTTGTTTTTCAAAGAGTAGCCAAATTTTAAACTTTAATTAAAATTTTAAAAGTTCGAATATATAAATAATGATATACCGTTATTGCAGTTTTTGATAATACGAGGAAATAAGACTTCTACTTTTTACGAATGTTTGCGTGCGCAGTAAAATAATAAAAAAATAAACAAAAAAAAGTTAAAATAAAGCATTACCACGTATTTTGAATTTAAAGGATAAAAAGGACAGAATTTTTGGGAATTTATTTAAATTAATTTTGCTTCACAATTTGCCTATATTACTTATTCTGAACGTACTCTGCGCAAATTTGGGCGGTTATAGCAAAGCAACCCTGTATATATATATATATATATATATATATATATATATATATACACACACACACACACACACACACACACACACACACACACACACACACACACACACATATATATATATATAAATACTTTTCTATTTTTAGAAATAGAAATAAATTATATAGGTACGAGTATTATTACTTTTTAATAGACTCTATCTAATTATTAATAATTGTATATGTGTTTCTTTTGCTCTTTTTGAGAACGACATGTGTCCTTAACTTTTGCCAATATTTTTTATATTTATAATTGGTTCAATTATAATTGTTTAAGCTTGGTCGTATCACTGATTATCTGAGTGAGTAACGTCTTCAACGACAAGAACTGAAGATAACGTCAATGCTGTGAGGCGGCTCACAATAGAAACAGATAAGAGACTAAACTACCAATAGAATTAGGCAATGTCGCTAACCTCAGGCGTATTAGTTCAAAATAAAATATCTTACATGAACATTTAGGCCACAGGAATATTTGTACTAAATGGATATTTAACCGCCGATAGAAAAATATATCATGAATTGGTTACTCAAATGCTATATTTAATATAGTCATAAGTGAGCTGGGTTTAATGTAACAAATCCTAAGTCAAAAGGGGTCATTTTATGGAAGATTTATGACAGTAAAGATAAAGAAAGAAAACAGGAAGAAATCAAAGTAAAAGCAGGATTCTTCTTTATTACGAGCGTCGCTAAAGCGTCAGCTGAAGAGCATAGCCAGCCATACAGAGACAACCAGCGGACCAGTCAAATATTTGGCTGCAACAGGTGCTACCGCAGCCTTCAATATTTTTTTTATAGAAATAGGGTGACAAACGAGCGCACAGTCCACCTGATGGTAAGTGGTTGCTGAGGCCCATAGACTTCTACATCTCTCCTTGTTTGCTTATCAAAATGTAGATGCGTTGTCAGCATTGAGGACTAAGATGAAATGCCTCCAGTAAAAAAGTTCTCCGGTTCTCTATACTCACCATACGAAACACAGCAGCATTAAGCTGCTATTTTACGCTGGTATTCTGTGAGATGTGTCAGTCACTATACAATGCTGATGTGACATTTAGTGCTTTCTTTATTTATTCCCAAAAAGATAAATTTTTGAGGTATTCGCTTTACGAATCCTGAAGATACAGTGACTGCATTCGATAAAGTCTTGGAAGATATCGATAATATGAGATTTAGGAACATTAGGCTGCTATTGTTATTGTGATAATTTACTGGTCGACCCGACGCGGTCGTAGTGTGGCTCTGTCATGTGAAAATTTTATGCAAGTAAAGTCACCGATTATGCTAATGTTTTTCATAGATGGTTTGTTTTACGAAATGTATATAAGTCATCTTACCATAAAAGGTGCTACGACGAACAAGTTCTTTAATGTTTGAACCGTAGTTTCGTTATATAACATAATATGAGCTAGGTGACACCTCCCCCCTCCCCTCTATATCATCCCAGGGCAATTTTAAGAAAAGACAGCAGAAAACTTAAATAAAAAATGTGAAGCAGCACTTTCCTGATATCAATTGAATAATAATAAAACTGCGGATGCTACTCGTAACATGCCTGCCTTGCGTGGCAACTATATTTCTGCAATCTGGGTAGTGGCCTTGCCAAGGGTTAAGTGGTGATAGTTGCGTGGCTTAAACCAACTGGTAAAAAATACACAAAAACTAAACATAAACTTTTGTTTTGTCTGAATTTGTTGTTTTAACACTACATAACATACAGGCTTATTTAATAGAAGAATGCTGCTGGCTTCTTAAATTCCCTTCATGTCTAACGCCATAACTTTCTTAATTTAAACTTACAATGTTTTCTATCTTAGTAACTGTAAATAAGCAAAAGCTTGGCCGTAAATATTTAGCATTAAAGTAAATTAATGTGGACAAGTTTAAATTTGCAACTTTGAATCAACATGTCAGACATTTCAACGTCTTTCGAAAAAGCAATTATCTTGGAGTAACGGAGGATGACAGTCGACTTAAGAATAGATCGAAACTCGCATAAACACAAAACAGATCCGGGAATAAATTTTGTATTCAGTGAACTAGGTGACAATTTTTTTAATTTAAATATTAACCTTACAAACTGCATATGAAATGAAAATATGAAACCTGTACCTGATTAGTAGCTACTTTGTTATACATAGTTTTTTACTTTTTTAAACTATCTTACCCAAAATTTACACTTACCCTTTGGACGATCCCTATGAAATTCATTTATTAAACCTATTGAAAATAAGTTTTTGTTGGACCAATATGACAATACCATATAGGTATAGCTATTCAGTGAGGAAACGCAACCGACGTTTTTGGAACTATACCGCGGGGATTAGGACTGTATGATAATTTAAGTTTTTTGTTTTATTAGATAAATGAACTAACAGTCAACCTGATGGTATGTGGCTACTTCAGCCCATAGACATATAGACCAAAATTCAAACAAAGAAGGCTACAGGTGCGTCGTCATACGTACTATACGTGGTAGAGCCATGCAGCAGCTATATTATGGTTGTAGCACGAATGGGTCGACTCGACCGGGGAAGGACCACGATCTCACAGAATACCAGCGTAAAATAGCAGCTTAATGCTGCTGTGTTTCGTACGGTGAGTGTAGAGAACCGGAGACCCTTTTTAGTGGAAACAAAGCATTTCATCTTAGTCGTCACGGATGACAACGCATCTGCATTTTGATTTGTAATCGAGGATAAATGTAGATGTCTATGGGCCACAGCAACCACTTACCATCAGGTGGATTCTGTACTCGTGTGTCGTGTGCCGTATCCTATAAAAAAATCTGGGAGGACTATGATGGAATGCCTCATAGTCTGTAATTAGACTGGCTCTCCGTACTTTTCAGATCGGAACGCAGCAGTGCAAGTACTACTGCTTAGTGGTACAAACAGATAAGAGGGTGGTACCCTCACTAACGGACGGTAAAGGCGAAAAGAAATGACAGCAACGTAACTAAACGTTGATTTCATTCATATATGGTCTTTTATTTGAATTAATTAGCCTGCAGGGGTGATAAAGGATCCGTGGCCTTCTTTGTTTGAAGACGGTTGAAGATATCCCTGTGACTAACTCCACTTTGAAAAACTCCGAACAAAGAAGGCTGCGGGTACGAAACGCTTTGCCTTATATTGTTTGGTAATTACATATCTCGACTCTATTGCCGTGTAGTCGCGGCGTGAAATTGTTAACTATTCCATATCATCCCGTCGATGTTTTTAAGAGGCGATATAGGAAAACTGAAACAGGACATGCGCAGCAGCACTTTATTGATACCAGGTCAAAATTATTGAAAAAATGTGGTTGCCGACCCGCATGCCAAGTATTGCAACTACGGCAAATATCCCGTCTATTAAGCAATCTATGGTGGGGGAGGCCTGTGTTCAGCAGTGGACTTTTTATAGACTAATGTATGAATATTGGCTATATACTTCAAGCCGGAATAACATTGTAACATTGTTACGTCGGTAGTGATAGTATATTTATCGTTGGTGGAGTTTTGGCGGGAACTTGACCGGCGACAGATTGCTGCTCCTGTATTATTGTTTAAATAATTGTTTGAGTTGGATTTGATAGATAGACGTGGTGCAATTTTGTGTATTAAATTCTGCGCATGTGTACTATTAGTGGAAACGGTGAAACAAGTGCTCTAATGGTGATGTGATTCTCAAGATAAGGTGTCTGTCTGCTTAGGCGCCTTGAGATACCATCGCCAACTGTCAGCTGTCTGCTGCCTCAAGTTGCCGGCAAAATCTCCCAAAAGCTGCACATTGTGACACATCAACATATTGTGAAGCAGTGTACTATGAAGGATAATTATACATTGTAACATCAGGCTAAGAAGGGCTAGAACCCAGAGCCGTAAAACCAGTTATAAAAATATCGTTGGTATAATATGATCGTTGCGTGGCTAAATGATGGAAGTAAAGTAGTAAAATTACAGCCTATATTCGTCCCACTGCTGGCCACAGGCCTGCTCTCGTTTTAAAAGAGTTATGAAGCAATCAGTTGCGCCGCTGTAAGTATTTAATCTAATTGTTTATTTTTATAAATGTAGTTGCTAATGATCCTTTTAGACTATCCATATTTGATATTACCACGCTTACCTTAATAGCGGCAATCGCTGCCTGCTTCGACACGAAGGTGACGAAGGCGCAGCCTTTGCTCTGGCCCTGAGCGTCACGGAGTACTGTACACTCCTCGATGGCGCCATGGCCGGCAAATAGAGCTCGCACGTCATTCTCGGATAACTTCTTGTTCAACATTCCAACAAACAGTTTGCGTTCTGTGGACGAAGAATTGTTAATATTAATACCTTAAGTACCTTCGTAAGAGCAAATTGTCATGAAAATGAAGTGTCGCTTATCTAACTTGTGTCTTTTTTATTCCTTTTTTATTAAATAATAATCCTGCGAGCTCTGTCACCAGTGAAAGTAGCGGCAAGGCTTTACGACGGAGATTTTGCGGAATAAATTAAACATTGTATATATTCATGTGAAGAGCTTTGTATTCAATATACCTTGTGTTTTTATTTTGTAATTCCTTATTATTTTAGTTATACTCATCTATTAATAATTTTATTAATAAATTTAAGCTGGCAGTCTTTTTAGATCATTAACAAAAATATTGTCAGTAAGCACAGTCTCCAGCAAGCATACTTCAATTTGTTAGAATATTACGCAGGGATAACTTACAGATCGAAAGCCAGCAGAATAAGGGCTAGTTTATTGTACGTAACGAGTTCATTGTACATTTTACACGTGATCCTGAAAAATGGAGACCTCGCCTCGCAACTGGGATCAAACGCGTTAAGTGTGAATTACGACGCTTTTCATTGTATAGCGACTGCACTTTGAAACATTTATCATTCGCCTACGACCGAACCTTGTGAGAAAGAGAATAAATCCTCACACATATTTGTTAATGATATTAAAATTCAATAAAAGAATTACGCAATAAAATAACTTTGAAACTATTAATTTAAAGCACATTTTAAAGTGCAAAATTGAAAAACAAACCAACTGGTTCCATTTTAATTTTGAATAGTTTTCTTATGAGTGATCGAAGTTATCTTAACAATAATAATATAAAAAGTCTTTTTAATTTAGAATTTATAGATTACATCGCTTTGCTGCAATAGTGTTATTTTAAAAATATACAAACGTGAACACTACGTCAAGAGCACTTGATTTTGTAAGAACGTTTTATGCGTTAAATTCAATATTATATTATATTATGAATCTCGCAGGAATGGTAAACGCAGGAAAATCGTACGCGACGCCCTGACACAAATATTTAAAGGGCGGGAAAAATCAACACGTTCTCATAGATATTAGCATTAAAATGGCGGGTTAACCAGGTATGCAAATATTCGCCTTAGAAAAGTAACCGCTAATGTTAATACCACAGCTAAACATATGCCTTCTCTCAGGGCCCATAAAATAAAAAGTTAATTACGCAAAAATTAAACACAAAAAATATAGCCGTGATATCTTAGGAGCATATCGTTAGCTGATATTTTACAGTACACGAGAAATCTGTGTTCAGTCTGCGAAGGGAACAGTAAAATTTTAAGTGTTGGTTTACTACGTTTTCATACATGAGGAACGGCTTAATTGAGGATTAACAATATTTCTAAGAACTGTTAAGTTCACCATCACGCACCATCACAAGTTCATGATGGTGAACTTAATACCGACGGATCAAAACGGACTAATGGCTCCCTAACCCACTTAAAAAATGAGAGGACGCCTGTACCCAGTAGTGGGATGTATGCTGTAAATTGACTTTTACTTTTATAAATAAAATACAAATTTGATAGTTTTAGTATCTTATATCAAAAGTTATTCTTATTGTTTTAATTACTTTATTTATTTTGACCTAAATAAATAACAAAATGGATATACCTGCCGATTTTCTTTTGCCGTTTTTTTGTTCGAGCATGCGGATCTCATTTTGAAACGGAACTTGATTAAAAGTTATGTTGAGGTTTGACAAATGAAATTTTCATTTCTTACGTCGAACAAAAACGAGTTTTAATTTAATTTTCATTTCTTTTCATTTCATAATATTTAACGAAAATGAATGCAATTCTGTATAATTTAGTATTCAGGCAGTTAAACGTATATACGGAACTAGCTGTAACCCGCGGTTTCACCCGCGTATATCACGCATCTGCACCACGCGACATGCGAACTTCGAAAGAGACATTTGCTACGGATGGTTGCTGAATTAAAAAAGATTTAAAAAGTGAAAAATGTTACTTAAATTACATGGTTAACGTAATTGGTGGTTATGCATGGTGCAGGTACTGATATAGCCTTGAATACGAAGTGATTTATTTGGATATAAGGACTAATACCTAGGTACGAATAATGTGACCTAGTTTGTACCGGCGTTACTATTGCATGCATATACTTTAACAAGGAATAGTAGTTATTGTGACATAACTGTAATAGTTAGATACATGGTATCGGGGACTTTTTTGTAGATATTGATGTCCTGTATAAAATTGTAGCACATCACTTTGCTCTATTGTCAATAGTTTCCGCAGCGTACGAGAAATAAGGATTCTTTTTGGTATTTTTTCACACCTTCGGTTACATTAACGAAGTTTTCATGCGGATCCCTAACTTTTTGAAAATATTCTATCGCCTATGTTCATCAGGGATAATGTAGGATTCTAATGATGAAAGAATTTTTCGAATCCGTCCAGTAGTTTCGGAGCCTATTCAATTCAAACAAACAAACAAATAAACAAACAAATCTTTCCTCTTTATATTATTGTAAGTGTAGATAAAAAATATTATTCGGTATGTAGTCAAAACATTTTAGATTTATATATGTTTACATTTATATTTCGTCATCTTGCTTTGAGAGAGAGAGAGTGGATTACTAATATAGACCTTACAATACATAGCATCACTATATGGACGGCAGCATCCACTTGCCATCAGATGGACTGTGTTAGCTTATCACCATCCCTTCTAAAAACATAAAAGGCCTATTAACAACCGTGCTAAGGCTAATGAAGAATATTATAAATTGAAGAAGTCATTAATATTTTCCAAATTAGTTTATGCAACAATAAAAATATAATTATACGCGTAATCCATAAGAAATAGCCTAGGTATTTGGGCTTACTTATTAGAACTACCTATGATTTTGAGCAAAGTCTATATCTATACAAATAAATAAAATTGAAGTGTCTGTTTGTAATGTCAAAATAACAGCTTTTTACTAAATGCATATGAAATTATGTACGGTAACAGCTAGTCAATAAATATAAAAATCAGTTACTGTTCGTTAGTCTCGCTAAAACTCAAAACTGGATCGACCGATCCTTATGAATTTTTTTGTGTGTGTTTGCGTGTGTTCCTGGATGGTTTAGATTCACAATTAGACCCAGTAGGTGGCGCTGTTGTCGAAATCCAGAAATCTGTCGTCGAGTTTTCTGGATCGAAACCATTCTCGAATCAACTTAATCACATACACAAAATTTCATCAAATTCTCATATAATGATTGGTATTTATATCTTTTGTTGCATTTCTTGGGTCATATTATGCACAATAAGGACTAGAAATAACATAAAATATACAAATTAAATGCGCTAGCTAGGCCTGTGCCAACAGACCTCCTCTCATTTCTAAAGTCATGGAGCGGTTATTCCACCGATATTTTATTGTTTAGATGTGTTGGTTTCCTCACTATGTCTAAAACACGTCAGCACTAAAATATGGCAATTGAAAAAAAACACATGTTTTTACGGCGAGGTAAGCTTAAGTTTGCAAAAGGTTAAACATATTAGTACATTAGGGGATATATTATTAAGTCTAATTGGTGGTCAACTGCTGTTAAACACATTAAGGAACATTTACTCTGATCACTAGATAAATATTTTCACGACTATTACAACAGAAACAAAAACAGTGAGGACGTCAAACATTAAGCAGTGCAAGTTCGAAATACGTAAAGATTTAGCGTAAATTCAAAGCGATTGAATGAAGCGAATGAATACGCTCTCATCCAAACGGCCGCTTGAGTAATAAAGACCACGGGCAACTACTAATTAGAATATTTAAAGTGTATCCTCACTTAAACACGGAGCGTAATCAGTTTAAATGCAGAAGTAATTGTGTACTTAACACAAACAGCGCTTTAAAATGTTAATGCCTTAAGTGCGCCATCGGGCCGGTAACGGCATCGTTCGTTAAACAATTTACATAACCTCTTGACTCAGGGGAGATAGGAAAAGGTTCACTCTGTGAGGGTAGACAGGGGGGAATTGTGTCACAATATAAGAAGCAACAATTTACTCTATAATTATCTCTTGTCATCGAGTCGTTTCGTCGCCCGTGCACTCGTACTGCCTCACTGGATCGTTGACAGATGATGGATGACATTTCATCGTTCTAAGTGGTTGAAATATCGAGTAGATTGTACCGGTGAAATTCAAGTACGGAAATTATGTATTAGCACGTGTAAAGTATAATAAATTGCTTTTTATGATTCTTAACGCGAGGTATACTTCATAATATTTATTTTGACTGTAGTGATAATGTAGAAAATTTTAATAGAAATCATGGTGTTAGCGGCGTTAGATAATTCTTCACCCCATTTCGCCCGGTGGGTGTTGCTAGAGGCGAATACGGGAAAGGCCAGAAAGACTTCTCAGAGATAGCGGTACGATTTCGTATAATGCCAGATGTGACTACGTAATGTTGGTTACCCCGCGATGAGGATTTATGGGTAGATGGGTCTTGATGTATAAAATAATTCCAAGGCGTTAGGATGCCTTCTCTGCCTTAGTACTGCTCTAGGCTGCAGTAGTCACTTAGTATCAGGTGGACTGTAAGTTCTTTTGTCACGTCAATTTTTTATAATAAAAAACGTGTGGTGGTATTAAGCCTCTGCAAGAGTTAGCAGAAATTCATCAGTAATCCTAGAATCATGATGATAAATAATTGTCTAGATGGCTTGGTATCGCATCAGATAATGCAGTATAACTAGCGGCACGAAAGTCTAGCGGTGCCCGTCATTGCGCATAAGTCGCGCTGATTGGCTTATTGCGCATAAGTCGCGTATATTGGCTCGTACGTATCGTTCGCACGCGCTGATTGGCTCTCCAGTCGCATTCGTGCAATTCAATTCGTGTGCGTCCCCTCCACGTTTCGTTCAGTGCTTGACTTACGTGCCGCGACTTGTAGTGTGCGTGTGTATTTTTCGAGTAAGCTCAAGTTATAATTTAAAGTAAACACAACTTAA